ATTTGCAACTATAAATGATTTAATAAAATTGTTTGGGAAAATAAAATTAGAATTAAAGAATAAAATATATAGTTGTTATGTTAATATGACTCTAACTGCCGATATTTAGAGTGATAAAACGAAACAAGATTATATTTACGTGGCTAGTCATTATTTTGATAATAAATATAAATTAAATAAATCTTTATTAGGATTTAGATTAATGGATGTGAATCATAATGGTCAACAAATTTATAATAAAATTGTTGAAGTTTTAAAAGATTATAATATTATTCACAAAGCGATAAGTTTAACTTTAGATAATACAAGTGCTAATAGTAAAGCTATAAATCTTTTGAAAATAAATTTTCCTTTTTATGATAATTTGAAGTTTTTTCACTAACGTTGTGCATGTCATATTATTAATTTAATTACGAAAAGTGATATGAAAATAATTAAAAATAATATTGATAGAATTAAGGTCCTTTAGCTTAGATAACTGCTAGTAATAGAAGAAATGCTGAATTTCAATATGCTTGTATAAAATCAAATATGTTTCTTAGAACTTTTGCATTAGACATGCATGTTAAATGGAATAATACTTATTTAATGCTTGATTCATGTTTACCTTGTGCAAATTTAATTAGTTATTTTGTAGCAAATAATAGAGGTCCTCATTATTTGGTAGACAGTGATTGACATATAACTCAAAAATTTTATTTTTTTCTTAACACTTTTTATCTATCTACTTTAAAATTGTCTAGTATGTATTATCTTACTAATCTATTAGTAATACATACAATTATAAAAATTTCAGATTTATTTAAAAACAAAAAAACAAAAACAATGAAATTTTAACAAGACCAATAGAGGCAATGGAATTAAAATTTAAAAAATATTGGAAACCATTTCCTTTTCTTTTTTGTTTAGTTATCATATTTGATCCTAGAATTAAATTTGTGGGTTTAGATACATTAAGTGAAAATTTACGAGACGAAACATATGTCGATCAACTAGAAGAGATAAGACAGTGTCTTGCAGATGTATATTTACAATATAAAAACATGTATGGAAACTAACGAGGAGGTATTAGAAGTAGTATCAAAAGACATAAATGAAGACTTCGAATTCTGAAATGCACTTAATAGGTCGAAGAAGACCCGAACCCGAAGCATAACCTCCTCTTAAGAAGCATCAACAACAAATATATTGTCTTCCATGCAGCTACAAAGTAATGAGTTTCACCAATATGTGGAAACTCCTGACGTGCTACCAACAGATCCACAACAAATAGTCAACTTTGATGTCTTAAAATATTAGAAAACCAAAAAATGTATTTTTTCGGTATTATCAAGACTTATTCTTGATGTTTTTACTATTCTTGTCTCAATCGTCTCATCCGAACAAACATTTAGTATAAGTAAAAAAATTTTAAATGATAGAAGGACTAAACTTTCACCAAAATTAATTAAAATTCTCACATGTCTTCAAGATTGAGAATGGTTATGTCATCAAGATCAATACAAAGTTATCGACGATACTTTAATAAAATCATTTTAATTTTATAATTTAAATAATACAGATGAAAGAGATCTTAATCAACCCTCAAATTAATTGTTTTATAAATTGTAACTTTATAATTTGTAAATTAACTGTCAATTATTACATTTTTTTTTCTTATCAAGTTTTTGTCCCAATTAAATTTTTCTTGGTAAAATTTTTAACGAGACAATAATTGTTGTAATTTTTTATTTTATTTTTTGATAAATGAATAAATCTAATTTTTTTCATATTACAATTTAATTGAATTAATATTTAAAATGTTAACAAAAAAATTAATTTAATTAAATTATTGATATTTGAAAAATTAACTAAAAAAAATTACACAAAAGAAAAAAATCTGAGCTAGCCCGCATAAAAATCTGCCAAGTTAGGGTTGGCGGACTAGGCTAGGTCAACCCTTCTAGGCAGGCAAGGGCCGGCCGGGTTAGGCCCAACCCACAATTTTGCATAACCCACCATGGGCCGGGCTGGATAGGTTATTTTTCCACCTTAGGGAAGGTTCACATCTACCGGCTCTACAAATTACATATTTCTGCCATTGGATTCTACCAAAAGGTTAGAAATTACCTACCCAATGCCTCAATCAATCAAATTCACACAAGTCATATCATTTTAATTTAAATTATCAAGAATATATAATATTAATACAGCTCAACAATTCATGGAAAAAAAGAAAAAATCAGCGCTGAGAAAAATATGCACAGTCAAAGTTTTGGTCACTGTTTCTAGTAATTTTTCAAGTTAGGGGTGTATTTGTAAACTTATAAGGTGTTTTTGTTATTTTTTAAACTAATAGGGGGGTAATTGATTTTTTACAGGGTACCCTGGAAAGGAACCGGAACCTGTATTTTAGGTTCCGGTTCCTTGAATTGAAGAACCTGTACTGTGCGGTTCCGGTTTCGGTTCCTTTTTTTGGGAACCTGTACTATGCGATTCCGGTTCCGATTCCCCGAAAAAGTGCAGGGTACCCGGAACCGCTCACCCCTAATACTTGTACTTTAAAAAGGCACGCTAATAAACATATGAATCAACATAGAAATAAAGAAACCAATCAAACTCAAATAACTAATATGAGTACTACTTTGTGTTATAATTCTGATGTATATAGGGAACAATTAACTTTATATATTGTTGCAATTGATCAACCTATTAATATGACTGAAGATAAATATTTTGTTATTAAAAATTCATTTTTACCAAGATTTAAAAGTTATTCTAAATCTGTAACTATAAATGATTTAATAAAATTGTTTGAGAAAATGAAATTATAATTAAGGAATAAAATATATAGTTATTATGTTAGTGTGACTCTAACTGTTGATATTTACAGTGGTAGAACTAAACAATATTATATTTACGTGACTAGTCATTATTTTGATAATTAATATAAATTAAATAAATCTTTATTGGGATTTAGATTAATGGATGTGAATCATAGTGATCAATAAATTTATAATGAAATTATTGAAATTTTAAAAGATTACGATATTATTCACAAAGTGATAAGTTTAATTTTAAATAATGCAAGTATTAATAGTAAAGTTATAAATCTTTTGAAAATAAATTTTTCTTTTTATGACAATTTGAAATTTTTTCACTAATGTTGTGCATGTCACATTATTAATTTAATTACAAAAAGTTGTATGAAAAAAATTAAAAATGATATTGATAAAATTAAAGATTCTTTAGCTTGGATAACTACTAGTAATAGAAGAATTGTTGAATTTCAATATGCTTGTATAAAATCAAATATGTCTCTTAAAACTTTTGCATTAGACATGCATGTTAGATGAAATAATACTTATTTAATATTTGATTTATGTTTATCTTATATAAATTTCATTAGTCATTTTGTAACAAATAATAAAAGTCCTCATTATTTGATAGACAGTGATTGACATATAACTCAAAAATTTTATTATTTTCTTAAATGTTTTTATCAATCTACTTTAAAACTGTCTGGTGTGTATTATCTTACTAGTCTATTAGTAATATATACAATTATAAAAATTTCAGATTTATTTAAAAAAAAAAAAACAGAAACAATAAAATTTTAGCAAGATTAATAGAGACAATGGAATTAAAATTTAAAAAAATATTGGAAACCCCCCCTTTTTTTTTGTTTAGCTGTCATAGTTGATCATAGAATTAAATTAACAGGTTTAGAAAATGATTTAGACACATTAAGTGAAAATTTACGAGACGAAACATATGTCAATCAACTAGGAGAGATAAAACAGTGCCTTGTAAATGTATATTTACAATATGAAAACAGATATAAGAACCAACGAATGAAGAGGTATTACAAGTAGCATCAAAAGACACAAATGAAGACTTCGAATCCTGGAATGCACTTAATAGGTCGAAAAGGATTTGAACCGGAAGCATAACCTCCTCTTCAGAAGCATCAACAACAAATATACTGTCCTTCATGTAGCTACAGAGTAATGAGCTTCACCAATATTTGGGAACCCCTGACGTGCTACTAACAGATCCACAACAAACATCTAACTTCGATATCTTAAAATATTGGAAAAACAAAAAAAAAAAAAATGTATTTTTTTAGTATTATCAAGACTTGCCCTAGATGTTTTCACTGTTCTTGTCTCAACCGTCTCATCCGAACAAACATTTAATGCAAGTAAAAGAATTTTAAATGACAGGAGAACTAAACTTTCACCAAAATTGATTAAAATTCTCACATGTCTTCAAAATTAAGAACGATTGCGACATTAAGATCAATACGAAATTATTGACAATACTTTAATAGTCATTTCAATTTTATAATTTAAATGATACAGGTAAGAGAGATCTTAATCAACCCTCAAATTAGTTGTTTTATAAATTGTAACTTTATAATTTGTAAATTAACTGTCAATTATTACATTCTTTTTTTCTTATCAAGTTTTTGTTCCAATTGGATTTTTCTTGGTAAAATTTTTAACGAAATAATAATTATTATAATTTTTTATTTTATTTTTTGATAAATAGATAAAACCAATTTTTCTTATACTACAATTTAATTGAATTAATATTTGAAATGTTAATAAAAAAATTAATTTAATTGAATTATTGATATTTAAAAATTTGGCTAAAAAAATTACACAAAAAAAAAAATTTAAAAAAAAAACTTGGCCTAACCTGCACAAAAACCCATCACGTTAGGGTTGGCAGACCAGACTAAAGCCAACCCTTCTAGGCAAGCCAAGGGCGGGCCGAGTTAGGCCCAACCCACAATTTTGCATAACCCACCACGGCCGGGCGGGATGAGTTATTTTTCTACCTTTATATATAAGGGAAGGTTCACATCTACCTGCTCTACAAATTACATATTTCTGCCCATTGGATTCTACCAAAAGGTTAGAAATTACCTACCCAATGCCTCAATCAATCAAATTCACACAAGTCATATCATTTTAATTTAAATTATCAAGAATATATAATATTAATACTGCTCAACAATTCATGGAAAAAAGAAAAAATCAGCGCTGAGAAACAAATGCACAGTCAAAGTTTTGGTCACTGTTTCTAGTAATTTTTCAACTTAATCGTGAATGAATTTAAACTAATTACATATGTTGCACTCATTATCCAGTACATATATGTTGGCCTTCTCACATTCTTCATGAAAACAGAAGAAAAAAGAACTCTCTGCATATTTGCACCCAAATAGAACAATAAACCATTTCAAGTGTGTGAACTGTATGGTTAGAATATATTTACCGACTCACCGATAGCAAAACCTGTTAGTCTTATTGATTTGCATTGTTTTTTCCAGAATGCATATAGAGTAGCAATTGACCTCCATCACCAGCTACAGCCAAGACTTGTGAATTTGAATCATCTGTAGCAATGCATGAAACAGTGCCACCTAATACCATTTAAAAATACTCAGTTATTTACAAATTAGTGGAATGATAATTGATGAAATGAAGAATTCTACAATTAAGTCACACTCTAACCAAAATATGGCTTTGTTTAATTTGACCTGAAATAAATTCTCAGAAAAAGCTGTTGAGATAGTTGGGTGCAACGTGAATCTTTAAAATGATTTCAATAGTTCTATAGGTATTTGTATATTAGAGAGAGAGAGAGAGAGAGATTTTCATATGATTGGGATATTTCTTGCTTCATATCTCCACCAGATAATCAGCTAATTTAATCGATCAGTTTAACATAATGGCTACAATCACTAAAGCCAATCGCAAACTAGACTCACCAGTCAGGAGGAGGACAATGCATCTTAGTTTCCAGTTACAATGTAAAATTGAATAGAAAAGAGATCTATACATGACAAATCAAGTCAATAATTTTCAGTATTTGTATGTAGGTCACTAGCTTCACAACCATATAAACAGAAAATCAATTAGGTCAGGATTGAAGCATACCTTTAAAATGATGCAGAGTACCAAGTTTAGTTCCTGAAGACAGTTCCCATACATACACAAGTCCATCATCAGTACCAATGATCCCATGACCAGAAAATGCACCAATGGCAGCAGCCCTGCACAATGAGTTCTATAATTCAAACTTCCAGCGTTTCAAATGTCAATAACATGAAAGAACTTGTGAGCATTCAGCTAGGCTTAAAGTTATTAAACTTTTATTATTATTATTTATTATCAGAATCACAAATGCATAATGCATTTTCTCTTATTTTCACCACTCTCAAAGCATAACTGATAAAAGTAATTTTCCCAAAAAGTTTTATCCTTTCTTATTACATCAGCTATTGATCTTGAACTGATCTAATTAATTGGAAAGGATCATTACTTCCAATAACAGTTCAATACCGATTTAGGAATAAGATGAAGCAACTTCATACTGAATCTCATATGAAATATGTTGCATGCATCAAACCGCATTTATATCAACTGCTACCAAAATGATGATAAAAATATTAAATACCATGATAACCAAACAGAATGGACGGTGCCATTCTGTAGAACATTTAAGACCTTCCAATCATTGAAATTAGGAAACCAGTTTGAAACTAAGAGAATTAAACTTCATAGCACCTTGGATCCAATGTACTTCCCAAGATAACCATGTTTTTCACCAGTAGGGCTAGCCTCCAAAATCTGACAGGATTTGTTTGGCAATCACTTGATATATGATTATGTTGAGCTTCAGAAACAGAGGCAGTTGAGACAAGAAACCAAATGGCAATATCTTCCCCCTCCGACTGAAGAAAAGAATTGTTCTCATGGTGTTTTGAGAACCACAACTTTGTTGCATCCATAATTCCTTTGATGTTCTCCGCCAAAGTAGTTCCTGATGAAACAGAGACATCTCTTCGCCAACGAAAGAAATTTATTGGAAAGAATTGATAAATTGAAGTGCTTGGAGCACAGAACCTTGACAGAAAGGCTCGTCTCGAAATATCCCTGAAAGAAATAAGTGTTACTATGGGCAAAAAGTTAACATGAAAAGCACAAAATAATAATTGAAATCCAGTAAATGCAAATATAAAAAATTAGAAAATAATAAAAAATAACAGTATATAAAGGTTTCTGTGACAATGATCATCAAGTAGACTCAAGAAATACAGAGTGATTCTAATTACATCCAATAAGAGAAGACAATATTCATGAAAAAACCAGCGAGGATAGGAACTCGGAAGCAACATACCATAAACCAAATTCCCCAAAACCGTTATGACCAACAAGAAGAGAAGCAGAATTTGGGATTTTCTTCAGCTCCACTATGCAAGGATATATGTAATCATCAACTGATATGACAAATTCTTCAATCCATGCACTGCAAATTGTGAGAACAGATGAAATTGTTTTCCCCACTTGGAATAGATGATCAAGTAATAAAAAACAACTCCACTAAAACATCCCCAAGGAAAATGAAAACAACATATATGGGTTATTGAGAAAGGTACACCAATGTTGATTGATATGAACGTAGTGACTAAACTGATATGTCAGGCACAATCAGTTTCAAAAAAGATCCTGTCATTAGTAAAAGTGGATCAAATAAAGCTCTAGTCAAATCATATATATCATCCAAATCGTAAAGTAGAACAACCAAATAGTTTTATACTGCAACCAGTTCACTGCTGCAATATGAAACCTTAAGAGTAAATTAAGCATGCTTGAAATACCATAAAAGAAGCAAGGCAACTGCTTCAAACATTGAAAATAAGTAAAACTAGATAGTAAATTCACCTCCATGTTGAATCCATTTCCCAGACATGCATTCTCCCACTCTCGCCAACAGCAATGACATAGTAAGGTTCACAAACCAATATACACTGCACACTGTCATCTGTTTTGAGATTTGCAACAACAGAGACATAACGTGATTTAGCTTGCACAATCTTCACTGCATTCTTCTCACTGCACTCCAATGTACATGTTGAGCACAAACAATCAATTCTGCCTTCCCTGAGAACATTTGTAGGAAATTAGCCCCCATAATCTTGCTCTTGTTTCATAATTATATTCTGTAATATACTCTAAAAAATAATCAACCTGCAATAAGGTGTCTCGATGCTGCCAAGCAAAACAAGACACTGTCCATCTGGAGTGAATAGCCAACAAGATGTTTCCAGTGCAATCTAGTCAAGAATAACATAAATGTCGGGAAATTCAACAAAGAGCAGATAAGCATACCAAGCCCAAATAATCAATTGACTGCAAAGCATTTATATAAGAACTTACATCTCTACCGAATATATCTTTTAGAAATGGCAAAATTACTGATGTGTGGCCAATGAAAGAAGGGCATCCTACGCTCTGTTCTTGAATTGCTACCTTGTAGATGAACAGGGTTCTGTTCTTCTCATTCAAAAGGCCACATGAAACACAAATGTAGATTTCATTCCCTTTTGTGGTTAACAACACTGAAGAAATAGGCATGGGATGGAAATAGCATCCTGCAAAGTCAACAATGCCCTCTAGCTCATTATTGAGCTCTACATTCTTTTGAAGCTTCGTGTCTGAACTAACTTTAACTTCCTTGGAATTACAGTTATATTCAGAGAAACTTGTCTTCTGTTTCTGAAATACTACAGAAGGATTAGACTCTACAAGCTTCATTTGCCCAAACAGTTCCTCGTCAGAATGGCCTTCAGTTTTCTTCATGTGTATGGCATATGGATCAGAAGAATTGCAAAGTTCCTCTCCTTTGGAGTCACCAAACACTGCTGCATTTTGAGATATAACAGATGAAACATGGGATTGTTCCTCAAGCCTAGTTTTAGCACCAAAATCTTCTTCATGTTGCTTGTCATCAGAAGATTTCATTTCACTAATCACAGAGACAGCCAAAGTTTCTGTGGCACAATATGTTTTGGGGACACAATCAATTTCAAAGTTTCTGAATATGATACTTTCTGAGAGAGGACCACTGAATTTTTTTATTAAAAGAGCTTTTTTTGAGACCTTCTTTCTGGAATATACTTTTTTTGGAGCTTCCGCAACAGAGACAGTCTCACTAGCTGCTATTTTAGTGGAAATATCCTTCCCTGAGAGTTGCACTGAATTACTCATACCCCTTTGGTGGGCATCGTTTGCATCTACAAAGGCAAAAGCACAACCAGTATGTGATTACTAGACAATCATAAAGACTAGGATTATCAGGGCCTAAAGGAATAAAAAACTTTAAAAAGCTCAATATTGAAAATGGTTTTTTCATGAATAGCTGAAAAGGTTATATGCATTTTACGATTTATAGCTTCCAGTTCTTGCTCAGAAAGAAAAAGTATAAGTCCTTTGACATATAAGTTGTTTCTGAAGATAGAGTACTAAATAAATTTGAGTTTACTAATTTGAAGGGCAGTAGAAAAGCTGCTTTTAGCCCCCTCTGGCAAACTGAAGTTAGGTGCACCAGTTATGTCAAGTTCTTACCATGTGGGTACTAATACAAAATATACAAAAGGTTGGGTCATGACATTACCCTCAGTGCAATCGGATTCAATTTTGATGTCTTTCTCCACAAGATGGATCCCAATGCCGGCTGAGTTTTGGTCAAAATTTACACAAACATCGTGGTCCCTTTCAGAGAAAACTTTCTTGCCAGAAAATCTACAGTCTAAAACAGACTCAGACGTGCAAACATCACTTTCTGGAAGCTTTTTATCCAAAATCATGTTTATTTCATCATGACACAGGATATTTTTGCTCTTGCTGTTCTGAGCACAAACTAATGATTCGTTTCTCACATGTCCAACATCCTCTTTTCGAGTGGTCAAAAGATTTTTATCTTTATCAATGCCAGGTTGATCAGCTTTCAAAGTTTTGGAAGACAATGCTATTTGGTTAGTTATATGGTCACCACATACATCATCATCAAAACTGTCAAGAATAACAGACATGGAATGTTCAAAACTTGGAGCTGAACCAAGATTTATTTTGGGGATTTGCATCTTTTCCTCCATTTCCACATTTGTCCTCTCAGTTATCATTGCAGCTGCAAGTTTAAAAGAGGAAACTAATAACCAAGCTACACGAATACATACACCACAAAATTTCTTTTATAAGCATATTCTTGAAATTTGATAGAAAAAATTGGCCTACAAAATCTATTGAAGCTACTACCAGATCTTGGAATAAAATTATTAGCAAATACAAAGATTTTAAGGTCAACTTACCTGGAAATGAAGCATCCACAAAGCTGCTAGTTTCATCATTCTTCTTGGGATTCACCCTACAAGACAAAGATTCAGAAGCTTTAAGGGTTGCCTTTTTCTTCCTTGAGACCTCATTAAGCAGAGGAATTGCTTGTGGGAGTAGAACTGTCATCATAGCAGTGGCAATTTCCTGAACAATTGAATCAGAATCACTCTTTCCAGAACTTGCAGTTGAATTAAATGTGTTCATTTCTTCTTTTGCATGTGAATCAGTCACTAATCCTTCAGGAATGACATTGTGGGCTGTGGTATAGTCTTCTTTCAGATTGTAGGTACTTTTATCCTGGGTAGCTGGTGAGGAATGTGCGCTGTTATCTGCATTGATGAATAAATCAATATAAAGAGGATGATGACTCATTACTAATAGTGGAATGCAAGAGTTTAGCCAATCCAGTACCTACGGAGTACAAATAACATTGTAAGGAATACCTTGCACAAAATCTAAAGGATCAGGGGCGCAGAGATTGATAGTTTCTACACCAAGAGAGTCATTGGGGATTGGTGCATCTCCAGCTTTATCTTCTGCTGCTACCAGAAAGCTGAAATTATTTGACCTATCAAGCTGTGAGAAGTTAAGAATGTTTTTCATAACATAGTCCACAGCAATATGACAATAAAGTCAAGATTTTGCACAAATTTGCCCACAAATGAAAATGAAAAAAGCTTAGCTTTATGTGTTACAGTCTAAGTCTAAGTGCCTAAATACTGTGGGAGGGCAGATGGAAAGTGTGTGAAAATCAAAAGGCATAAATATATCCTAAAAACACTTAAGTTCCTGGATGTTAATTAAAAAAGAGAAAGATAAAGGAAATGTGCTCACAGGTTTTCCTCTTCAGTCAAGTTGTTGGTCACTCTAGTGGATTTAACAATTTCAGAACCCACAAGTTTGTTCATTTTTTGAGCTGGAACAGTTCCCTCAGAGAGATTAGCAGAAAAGTCAACGGATACTGAAGGAAAACTGTCTTTAGCCGAAAAGTAACCATCTTCCCCCTCAGCTGTTTTAAAAATCAAGTTCTCTGATGCTGCCAAAGCTCCTTGATTTTTATGAAAGTCATTCCCTTCTTCAGAAGCAGAAAGAGGCATAGAACTTCCATGCTTATGATTCCTCTGATTTACTTGTACTGAGCTTGTAGCCTCAGAATCGCATTTCAAACCTTGAGATCGAGGTTTCTTAAGGCCATTCCTACCAACTGGCTTTGTATTTTTTATTTCACATCTACTTCTCTTGTTTGTAATCTTTGTTCTCTCGATGTCCGACTGTAAATCTAGATTTATGCATGCATCTGGATGTTTATCATGCTCTCTATCGGAAGCCCCGTTGCATAAGCTGGAAGATAATAAGTTCCTTTCTGCTGTCCCGTTGACATTTGCCACCAGTTCTCGAAGTAACCTCTGGACAAATGAATTTTTGAACCCGAAAAACTGTCCACCAAATGCAGAGACAAGGAATTCCATTTAGCACTATATCTTGGATTCTTTTGTTTACCATTGGAAGAGAATGTAAAGGAAAAAAGAACAGAATAAAACAAGAAATGATTTCTATTGCTAGCAGACAGAAAAGTAATTCACCTACAGATTAGAGATTAATCCCAAGAAGCACCCATATCCAATAGCAAAGAACAGCCAAGAAATAACCAAGGATGTCAAGAAGACAAATATAATATTAAAGATCACAATTTAGTGTACAAGTACCAGAAACTGCAAAAACAGAAGCTACTTGGTTGGTTACATAATTCAAACAAAATGCTACACAATAGGTTCTGCACAACAGTTCAAAACTTCNGCAAACATCACTTTCTGGAAGCTTTTTATCCAAAATCATGTTTATTTCATCATGACACAAGATATTTTTGTTCTTGCTGTTCTGAGCACAAACTAATGATTCGTTTCTCACATCTCCAACATTCTCTTTTCGAGTGGTCAAAAGATTTTTATCTTTATCAATGCCAGGTTGATCAGCTTTCAAAGTTTTGGAAGACAATGCTATTTGGTTAGTTATATGGTCACCCCATACATCATCATCAAAACTGTCAAGAATAACAGACATGGAATGTTCAAAACTTGGAGCTGAACCAAGATTTATTTTGGGGATTTGCATCTTTTCCTCCATTTCCACATTTGTCTTCTCAGTTATCATTGCAGCTGCAAGTTTAAAAGAGGAAACTAATAACCAAGCTACACGAATACATACACCACAAAATTTCTTTTATAAGCATATTCTTGAAATTTGATAGAAAAAATTGGCCTACAAAATCTATTGAAGCTACTACCAGATCTTGGAATAAAATTATTAGCAAATACAAAGATTTTAAGGTCAACTTACCTGGAAATGAAGCATCCACAAAGCGGCTAGTTTCATCATTCTTCTTGGGATTCACCCTACAAGACAAAGATTCAGAAGCTTTAAGGGTTGCCTTTTTCTTCCTTGAGACCTTATTAAGCAGAGGAATTGCTTGTGGGAGTAGAACTGTCATCATAGCAGTGGCAATTTCCTGACCAATTGAATCAGAATCACTCTTTCCAGAACTTGCAGTTGAATTAAATGTGTTCATTTCTTCTTTTGCATGTGAATCAATCACTAATCCTTCAGGAATGACATTGTGGGCTGTGGTAAAGTCTTCTTTCAGATTGTAGGTACTTTTATCCTGGGTAGCTGGTGAGGAATGTGCACTGTTATCTGCATTGATGAATAAATCAATATAAAGAGGATGATGACTCAATACTAATAGTGGAATGCAAGAGTTTAGCCAATCCAGTACCTACAGAGTACAAATAACATTGTAAGGAATACCTTGCACAAAATCTAAAGGATCAGGGGCGCAGAGATTGATAGTTTCTACACCAAGAGAGTCATTGGCGATTGGTGCATCTCCAGCTTTATCTTCTGCTGCTACCAGAAAGCTGAAATTATTTGACCTATCAAGCTGTGAGAAGTTAAGAATGTTTTTCATAACATAGTCCACAGCAATATGACAATAAAGTCAAGATTTTGCACAAATTTGCCCACAAATGGAAATGAAAAAAGCTTAGCTTTATGTGTTACAGTCTAAGTCTAAGTGCCTAAATACTGTGGGAGGGCAGATGGAAAGTGTGTGAAAATCAAAAGGCATAAATATATCCTAAAAACACTTAAGTTCCTGGATGTTAATTAAAAAAGAGAAAGATAAAGGAAATGTGCTCACAGGTTTTCCTCTTCAGTCAAGTTGTTGGTCACTCTAGTGGATTTAACAATTTCAGAACCCACAAGTTTGTTCATTTTTTGAGCTGGAACAGTTCCCTCAGAGAGATTAGCAGAAAAGTCAACGGATACTGAAGGAAAACTGTCTTTAGCCGAAAAGTAACCATCTTCCCCCTCAGCTGTTTTAAAAATCAAGTTCTCTGATGCTGCCAAAGCTCCTTGATTTTTATGAAAGTCATTCCCTTCTTCAGAAGCAGAAAGAGGCATAGAACTTCCATGCTTATGATTCCTCTGATTTACTTGTACTGAGCTTGTAGCCTCAGAATCGCATTTCAAACCTTGAGATCGAGGTTTCTTAAGGCCATTCCTACCAACTGGCTTTGTATTTTTTATTTCACATCTACTTCTCTTGTTTGTAATCTTTGTTCTCTCGATGTCCGACTGTAAATCTAGATTTATGCATGCATCTGGATGTTTATCATGCTCTCTATCGGAAGCCCCGTTGCATAAGCTGGAAGATAATAAGTTCCTTTCTGCTGTCCCGTTGACATTTGCCACCAGTTCTCGAAGTAACCTCTGGACAAATGAATTTTTGAACCCGAAAAACTGCCCACCAAATGCAGAGACAAGGAATTCCATTTAGCACTATATCTTGGATTCTTTTGTTTACCATTGGAAGAGAATGTAAAGGCAAAAAGAACAGAATAAAACAAGAAATGATTTCCATTGCTAGCAGACAGAAAAGTAATTCACCTACAGATTAGAGATTAATCCCAAGAAGCACCCATATCCAATAGCAAAGAACAGCCAAGAAATAACCAAGGATGTCAAGAACACAGATATAATATTAAAGATCACAATTTAGTGTACAAGTACCAGAAACTGCAAAAACAGAAGCTACTTGGTTGGTTACATAATTCAAACAAAATGTTACCCAATAGGTTCTGCACAACAGTTCAAAACTTCAGTAGAAAACCTCAGTGGCAAAGTTTGACCTCAGCCATCTTTGTCACCTCTGTGTAAGCATCACTAAGGTAAGCATTGATGGCTGCGGCATCAAAGAATCAGGGGCCCACGTACCATTATTTCTAAAATGAAATTATCAAATCAGATTCGCCAAAAACCACACAATTTCATTATCTCTGGGATAGCAGACTACTCATTTTAATCCCTCCTCCACAACCAGGCAGATTAAAGGTTGAACTGTAATAATTCATAACAGTCCCTAGATCTCTATGTTCTTCATTCTTAAATCGGATAAGCCCCTCGAAAGCAAAATTCAACATTTCAACACTAATAAAAAAAAATCGCTATTTCTCTGTAAACAACAAGGATCAAATTACTGTCAAGAAAAACAACGTTCACATTACTTACCCAAAAAATAAAAAATAAAAAATAAATAATGCTCACAGATACAGCTGCAGTGAGGATGAGGATGTTTTTTTAAAACTAAAATAAAGGATAAAGATAGAATAGCGATTAAACGGAAAATCAGAATTTTCACCAGGACAACCCCATATCAAGCCAATTTAATTCCAAATTATATTAAAAGTACATCCATTATAAGAACATGAGGAAGGTCACAACATAACAGCAATCATCCCTATCAGATCCAAATGCAAATCTATCTGCTGATGAGATGAACTAAGATCTACCTCCACGCCATCTATCTTGCATGAAAGTCTCTTTCCATGCCATGTCTTCATGCGGGGACAATATTTCTTCTGAAACTTATCCCATGCAATATCTGGTGTTTGCCCAGAACAAGAAGGCCCACCAGCAGAAGTGATCTGCATGTGAGTGTTGGAACCTATACTTCATTAATTTCATAGATTATTGCAACCAAAATCCAGTTACATCAAAATTTGATAGTGTAAGGTCTTCTACACACCGTAAATAAAGGCCCTTTAGGACCTTCATGAATTTCCATCTTGCAGGTACTCCCATTATGAGCTCGAACAGCATGGAATCCCACTGGGTAAGGGTAGCGATCTTTCCCCTATAAAATAACAAGATACAACCAACATCCAATTGACATAAAAAGATGGTAAATAGCATACTGCATAAAACTAGGATAACTGATTCCATTTTCTCCAAGAACAATAGTCCATAATCTTCACGAAAAATCCCAATTACCAACTTAATGATAAGCTCGATTTTATATATCTCATCTCTTCGATTCAAATTAGATTTAAGCTTATTCAGGCCTTAAGATCTTGTTCATTTGGACATTTGATGTAGGACACGAGGCCTAGCAGTAGACGCCGACGACATTGAAGACCATAGTTTGAATGAAAAGACCCGATGAATAAAACTCACAACTATGTTAAGAACAGGTTTGCTGCTTTAGAAAATTCTTTAAGTCATTACTTCAAAAAGTCCAATATCTTTTCAGTTTTTTATTCTCCTAATGCATACGAATTTCTAGCTTCCTTATCAATTTCAATCTCAAATTTCGTCCTCCCAGGCAATCACTGTATTTTTCAAGTTTTAGGGCTTCAATGTAAAATCCAAACACCATTCAAACGGTTTTCTTCTCCAAAGAACTTTTATTCTTTCATATGCAAACTATTCGCTTATGCAACATACTATGCATCTCAACCATGAGTTATAATCACAACGTTAACCATCAAACAAGCAATTGTAAAGATTTAAATATAAATATTTTGTTCTCATCTATACAAATTATTAGTGACAACAACCTAACAGGCCATTTCTGACACATCATTTGAGAAACAAAAGGCGAAATTCAAATTTAGATCTAGGAATTGATAAAATAAGTAGAGAATTTTAAATCGAACCCTAGAGGAGCTCCAGTACTTCTTCTCCCAAGAACCTTCATATAGAGATCCAATGGAAGTGATTTCGAGACCCTCCGATTTCACTTCTTCTTCAACTACTACCATTTCTTTAGGTTTCGCCATTTTGGTGATAGGAATATAGTGTAGGCGGTGAGATCTTGAAAAAAGAGGATTTAATCTTAAAATGAATGGTGTTGTTATTGAGGTGGGTTTAAATGGCGGGAATCAAAATCACAAAATATATATATATTATGAGTGATGCTATGGGTACTAATGGATGGGTACTAATCTGTGTACTAACTAAAGCATAGTACTCGTACTATGCGTATAGTACCCGTACTATGCTTTAGTTAGTACACAGATTAGTACCCATCCGTTAGTACCCAAAGTATTATTCATATATTATTTAAAAAGAGAGTGAAGTTAAAATCACAGTTCGGTGACCTGGATATGGGGCCTCCGAATTTAATTGGGTGCTTCGTGAGAGTTAAAACTTTGGGGGCCGAACAAGGTATAATAAAAGAGTGATGCTATGGGTACTAATGGATGAGTACTAATTTGTGTACTAACTAAAGCATAGTACCCGTACTATACGCATAGTACAGGTACTATGCTTTAGTTAGTACACAAATTAGTACTCATCCATTAGTACCCAAAGTATTATTCATAATAAAATGACAGATTGGTATCTAAAAGGTTTCAAAAAGATAAATAGGTACCTTCCGTTAGTGAAAAGACTAGAATGTCCTTTAAGAAATATTAATCTATTTTTTTAAGTACTTTTAAACCCTTTAAGTTTATTAATTCCATCAAATACTCCCAGAAAAAAGTTTAAAAATTAACAAAAACACCCCCATCCACCCATACTTGCTAGATTCCGACGGCCACCGCCTGTGGTAGCTAGAATCTATCACAACGGTCTACGCCACCACGGTAAATGGGTGATAATTCACTGATCTGGCATTTTCCAGTCAGATCTACCACGGATATGGTAGGAAAAGGCCAAATCTGACGTCAAAATGCCAGATCTGGCCAAAAAGTGACGGCTAAAGAAATGGTCATCGTTGACAGACAATGACGGCCACATTTTTGGCAAAGATGGAGTGTTGCTGCCGTCGACAGCCAGATCGGTGAATTACCAGCCATTTTCGGTGGTAGCATAGACCGTTGTGACAGATTCCGGCTACCATCGACGATGGCCGCTGGAATCTGGCAAGTATGGGTCGGTGGGAGTGTTTTTATTAATTTTTAAACTTTTTTCTGGGGGTATTTGATGGAATTAATAAACTTAAGGGTTTAAAATTAATTAAAAAAATAGACTAATATTTCTTAAAGGGCATTCTAGTCTTTTCACTAACGAAAGGTACTTGTTTATCTTTTTGAAACTTTTTGGATACCAATCTATCGTTTCGCTAAACCTTGGATAGGTGTTAGTCGTTTTCCCAAACTTTGGGTGTCAAAAATGTCTCCGCTCTGAGATCGCTTTTAATATTAAATTTATTTTTATAAAAAGTATTCGACACTCTTATTAGGGAGGTTTTGATAATTTTATAAGGAGAATTATAATGGACATTACAACCGAATGAATAAACCAAATTTTTTTTGTTTTAACAAAAAAAAAGGGAAATATATTAACTCCTATAATTTCGAAATATCATGCAGAGAGTAAGTTTTGTTGCTTAATATCTTTAAAAATATGTAATTTTTTAAAAATTACCAATTATTAAGAAACTTTTTAAATTTTTATCCTATTTCTTTTCAATTAAATATTGTCCTGTAATTTTATGCAAAATTATTAAAATATAGGATCAAAATAAAAATGTTTTTCTTATGACTTTAATTATTTTAACTTTAACTGAAGTGTGTAAATATTTCGTTGTTAATTCAAGTGTATAATGGATTCTTTTTAAAGGCAGTTAAGTTGTATGCTAAGTTTAAAAAATAAGATATTTTAAATTTAATTATAAATATTGATATAAATATCATACTATGATATTTTATGTATCTAATGCAAAAATTTCTCCATCATTGCACTAATATTTATTATACTTTAAGGCCAGTATCTGACGTGACTTGAAAAACAAAAAAGTTGAAGATAAAGAAACAAACAAGCTTTTGAAGAACGAGAAGGTTTCAAAGAGAGGTGGGTGAAAACTCCACTGATCATGGCATTGTGCAATTTCTCCGTTTGAAGATAAGAGAGAATGACAAAAAGGGGGATGGCAAACAAGGCTTCTTCAATGTTTCTTTTGAATCAATTATATCTGGATAGTCAAACGGTTAAATAAGAACTCTTAAGTATACTATTCAAGAGATTTTGAATTCGAATCCGTCCTCAATCACTAATAAAATTAGTTATTATAACTCTTATCTAATCGATAGTTTTAAGGTTCTGATGGATTAGTTGAGGAGTGCGTAAACTGATTAAAACACCCCAATAAAAAAAAAAAAAATGCTTCTTTGGAGTCTTTATATATTAATAACTATTTTTGTAATCTCATTTTAGATGCATTTTCTGGATGCAACCAAGTCTTTAACTTACAGTGTTATTTACATATTATGTTAATATGAGTTCATTTTGATATATAATTTGATAGCATCTTTTCTTCTAGTAACAGTTATATAAATACAAAGAATTATATATAACTGAGAGAAAAGAATAGTTAAATAAACCAAGATATATATTAAGCCTTCTTTTTGTAGTTGCACATATTAAAAATCAATAATAATAACAAAAAAAGTAAAACGATATTGAAATTAGTAATAACGTTTTGTTTGTTTCATAATTTAAATTGAAAATAAAATTTATTAATAAGTAAAATTGATAATAAAAAATATAAACACAAGAATACGAAATTACATAAGTAGCTAATATACAGTAGATTAACACTGATTTTTAAGCTGTTAATCAAAAATTAGTTATGAACAACTTTATTAAAACATCGAAGATCGGGCTTGGCCATTGTCTTCTTAAAGAGCATATATAACACAATCCCATGTAAACATAGGATGATGCTTAAACGTGAAAAGGAAAAAAAATATGATATTGCATGAAAGTAGAAATTCATTACCTACTTATGAGAGCGTCATTATTCAAAAGATTACGGTACCCATACTGCACTATTTGAGAGTAACAATAACGACGAACAAGTTACTTAGATTACACATGGATGATTGATAGTTTTATTGGATGAACACCCTTTGATCATATGACTTTTGATATTGAAATAGATTTCAGCTAAGTCATTGAGAAGATATAGAGAAAGAGACGTCTAATCAGAGTTTCCCAATAAAGATAAATGTCCAAATCCGTTAAAGAAGTGAAAATTTTTGAAGGTTAAGGCATGGGAATCTTGTGGCAAGAAATGCCTGGCTAAAAAATGTAACAGAGAAAAGCAGTAAAAAAAAATAATAATAATAAGACGCAGGAGGACGAAGGCCAAAAGCAAACCACCTTGGGAAAGTCGAGTTAGACGAGCAGAGAAAGGTTAGGATAGCAAGTGTGGACGTAGCTTTGTTACCATGAATGGAAATTGAGGAATAGTCCCATCCCACCAATAAAAGAGGCAAAAACCCATCTCCATCTCCCTCTCCTAAAATCACTAATGCCCAATAGTGACATTGACGTGTGATTTTAGCTTCTGTCTCTTTCAAATTTCCTTCTCTAACATTGCACCCACAAAAGATGGAATACATGGACAGGTGCTCTTCTCTTCACTATCTTTTCATTCATTTAACTTCTCTCTTGATATTTGGGAATTGGACCCACGTTTTCTTTAACTCATCTGTGTCTATTCCTGCTAAATCATTAACAGCATTCACGCTGTCTAAGATTATTTGGCTCAAGATGCCATGTTCTCTTGTTTTTGTGTCTCGTTTTCTAACTCTATCAACAATGGATATCTTACTTTCACAGGCCACATCAAATTTAATAAAGGTTAATTACCCTTTTCTCATAACTCCTGTTTTGATTTCCAATATCTTTGAAGTACTTTTAGTTATAATTAAACAGTACATTGACCATATCAAATCATATGTTAAATCTGAAAACTTTCAGAGAACCATGTATATTGAATAACTATTCTACTGTACTCTAACCAAACTAGTAAACAGATCAATCTGGGTTTCAACATCTCATATTAGCTCACATCAATCAAGGATTCAGGTTTTCTCGTGATATGCTCTATTATTTCTAATTCATGAACTGACCGGGAATCTAACCAAGACTCCTTCAAAACTTAACGCTCAATTAAATTTAAGGGGAGAATTCAAATGGATGAAGCATTAGCAGTTAATGGACTTGAACGGTTGTAATAAAGCCAGAACCTCACATGCATACTGAAATTTGTGTATATATAAGTAGCTTATATAAATCGGTGTAATTTCTTTCCTTTAATGAAATTTTGTCGTTTCCAACGAGAAAACAAAAGAATGTATATATATTTGCTAGAAGAACCATCTAGGAGTGGTGAGTGATAAATGATAGTTCATTGATCAAGATTAAAGCCATTAAAAGCTTAAAACTAACGGTACTTTGTACTTTGCCTTCGACTTCAATCCACCATTGGCATATATATATTCTCAACCGGTCAACATTAATTAATGTGTCAGCTGCCCCTACTGTATGTTGTCGTTTATGTGGACACATTTTTACAACCACTTTCTCGCCAATGAAACAGTGGTGATTAATATTAGTTCTTTCACAAGTGATTGCTTGAATCTGATAAGAGATTCGAAGCTTCAAGGAAAATACATATGGTCAATGTTCTTGCTGCACTCCAACTATTGCAAGGTAGAGGAGAGTGGTGTAATGGATTATTTATAAGTTTATTTAATTAAATCATGTTGTATGTAATTATTTATAAACCTTCTAAAACTGCATAATGTAGTAATGTAACTGACGAAAAGATAAATGTACATATAAATATATAGCATAAATTTTTAAGATGAGTAAAAGATATGTAGTAGGATATACCTCCCATCTAATTAATACTTATTTATGATAGGAGATAATGACATGGCACCATTAATGTGATGGTTTAGGGTTTTGAATCTTCCAATAATTGATGGAGCAATAAAAGTGGGAAAAAGTAGGGGATGAAGGTGGAGTTGAAACCAACCCCTAGTGGCTGAGTAACCAACTTTTGGATGGCTGAGTGGTTCGATAGAATTAGGTGTATTACTCAAGAGATATTNCTCTCTTGATATTTGGGAATTGGACCCACGTTTTCTTTAACTCATCTGTGTCTATTCCTGCTAAACCATTAACAGCATTCACGCTGTCTAAGATTATTTGGCTCAAGATGCCATGTTCTCTTGTTTTTGTGTGTCGTTTTCTAACTCTATCAACAATGGATATCTTACTTTCACAGGCCACATCAAATTTAATAAAGGTTAATTACCCTTTTCTCATAACTCCTGTTTTGATTTCCACTATCTTTGAAGTACTTTTAGTTATAATTAACAGTAGTACATTGACCATATCTAATCATATGTTAAATCTGAAAACTTTCAGAGAACCATGTATATTGAATAACTATTCTACTGTACTCTAACCAAACTAGTAAACAGATCAATCTGGGTTTCAACATCTCATATTAGCTCACATCAATCAAGGATTCAGGTTTTCTCGTGATATGCTCTATTATTTCTAATTCATGAACTGACCGGGAATCTAACCAAGACTCCTTCAAAACTTAACGCTCAATTAAATTTAAGGGGAGAATTCAAATGGATGAAGCATTAGCAGTTAATGGACTTGAACGGATGTAATAAAGCCAGAACCTCACATGCATACTGAAATTTGTGTATATATAAGTAGCTTATATAAATCGGTGTAATTTCTTTCCTTTAATGAAATTTTGTCGTTTCCAACGAGAAAACAAAAGAATGTATATATATTTGCTAGAAGAACCATCTAGGAGTGGTGAGTGATAAATGATAGTTCATTGATCAAGATTAAAGCCATTAAAAGCTTAAAACTAACGGTACTTTGTACTTTGCCTTCGACTTCAATCCACCATTGGCATATATATATTCTCAACCGGTCAACATTAATTAATGTGTCAGCTGCCCCTACTGTATGTTGTCGTTTATGTGGACACATTTTTACAACCACTTTCTCGCCAATGAAACAGTGGTGATTAATATTAGTTCTTTCACAAGTGATTGCTTGAATCTGATAAGAGATTCGAAGCTTCAAGGAAAATACATATGGTCAATGTTCTTGCTGCACTCCAACTATTGCAAGGTAGAGGAGAGTGGTGTAATGGATTATTTATAAGTTTATTTAATTAAATCATGTTGTATGTAATTATTTATAAACCTTCTAAAACTGCATAATGTAGTAATGTAACTGACGAAAAGATAAATGTACATATAAATATATAGCATAAATTTTTAAGATGAGTAAAAGATATGTAGTAGGATATACCTACCATCTAATTAATACTTATTTATGATAGGAGATAATGACATGGCACCATTAATGTGATGGTTTAGGGTTTTGAATCTTCCAATAATTGATGGAGCAATAAAATTGGGAAAAAGTAGGGGATGAAGGTGGAGTTGAAACCAACCCCTAGTGGCTGAGTAACCAACTTTTGGATGGCTGAGTGGTTCGATAGAATTAGGTGTATTACTCAAGAGATCTTGAGTTTGAGTTCTTTTTCAGTTATTAATAGGGGTGATCACTGAAGCTCTTACCCAATCGGTAATTCTAAAGTCCTAGGAGATTAATTGAAGTATCCGTAAGCTATTCCGAGCATCTTCGATCATTTAAAAAAAAAAAAAAAAAAAGTTGGAGTTAACAAATAACCCTTTAAGAAGATAAATTCACAGTTAAAATTCGATAGCCATAACCCTTAGGCAGAATATGATTAATTGCGGCAAAGTCAAGTATACTCACCCTAAAGTTGGTAAAATGAATTAAACTCTTTTCGATAATTAGGTTTCCCTACCATATAATTCATTAAGACAAGCCAATAGTAATGGTTTCATAAAGCATTCCATTTAATCATACAAGTGTGCAGCAAATTAAAACATACTTAAAATCCTTAATCAGAAATCTTAAAAGAACAAAAAGAGATAGTTATGTGCTTAACTCCATCTTCATGAGATTAATTAAGAGATAATATATATCGTGAGATTTTTATTAATATGTCTAAAAAGAGTGCATCGAATCGCCCGTGCAACTCAGCTCTGCAAAAAATGCAGTGCATGTACAATTTGACTGGTATAGTAACCCTAGATATATCTTTTTGAACGCTGGCTTGAGCTCTTTCACACCACTATTTACTGACTTTTTTTTTTCCTTGTCATCAACTATCACAAACCCAACCTTTTCTTCTTTCCTCTCAAAACCTAACCATATATCTCTTATTCATCATCTTCTTCTTCCAAAATGAGCCTAGAGGAAAACATCTCCATGGACTTGCAAGTTCAACCCTCTGAGCATCTCTGCTATGTCCGCTGCAACTTCTGCAACACTGTTCTTGCGGTAATTTTACGTGGATATATATATATATATAGATCAATTATTCTTTCTTCAATACTGTTACCTTCTTACCCGTTTGATGTCGGTATATATATATATAACACTATGGAAACTATACAACATGATCTAATTTTCTTCTTTTTATACTTGCTACTTGCATGTGAAGATATTAACATTAAATATTACCATGAACATGAAAAGATTTGAAAAAACAAAGGTAAAATGTTTGCATCCAGAAGTGACTGAGTGTTTTATAAATCATGTATGTTTTTCTCCTATATATTGTCAAAAATGGATAGGGGAAGAAATTTTCATGTTGAGCGTATGTACTATAAGAATGAAACTCTAAAATTATAAACACCATATATAATCACTTGTAATTCTTGGATCTTCTTTTATGTTTCTTTTTGTGTTTTTGTTTTCATTAATTTCTTGTTTGTGAATGTAGGTTGGGATTCCATGCAAACGGTTGCTGGACACAGTGACAGTGAAATGTGGTCATTGCAGTAACCTCTCCTTTCTCAGCACAAGACCTCCACAGCAAGCTCCCTGTCACCAAATGAGTCTCACTTTTCAGGTATAAATTTCTCGATCCATACATACACTCCAAGAAAGAGGCCACCAGATTTATGAAACGCAACGCATCTGCTCGATCTATAAAAATAAAATGTAGAATTGGACCAAAAAAAAAACTAGTGCAGCAGCTTGGAATTCTTTTATCAAGAAATGGTGATAATTAAAATACTATACATCTTCTTAATCATATAATGATATATATAACTAATGCTAGGTGATCCATTTATTTATTTTAGGAGAAGCAGAGCTTTTGCCAAGATTTGAAACTGGGAAATTCCTCATCATCGACTTCCAGTGAGCCATTGTCCCCAAAAGCACCATTTGTTGTAAAACGTAAAAAACCCTTGCTCACCTGTACATACATATTCAATTATAGATAAAAATAACTTCTGGCCTTCAACTCTACACAATTTATTTCTCCTTTTTTGGCAGCACCTGAGAAGAAACACAGGCTTCCATCAGCCTACAACAGGTTCATGAAGTAAGGGCAAGAGTTTTCATTATTTCTGCTGTTTTGTCCATCAACAAATCTGTTTTTTTTTTTTTTAAATTGTGTGACCTTCCATGATGTTAATCTTTTATATATTCATGTTTCTTCAATTGGAATTAACTTGTACCAGTTGCCTATTGTCAGACCTTCCATTTCCGTCGCGGTTCTATTATTTAATTACTATATACATATTAGGTTCTATTATTTAACTTTCCATTGTTTATCCTATTTCAAAAAATTATGAAAGAGAGGAAATACAGCGTATCAAAACGGCCAATCCTGAGATAGCACATCGAGAAGCTTTTAGCACTGCAGCCAAAAACGTGAGTTATATTTTCAACTTAGAAAATTTTATTATGTACAACTAAGCTTTTCTTGATCGTTTAAGTTAAAATCTTGATCATTTCTCTGATTTAAACTTTTGTTTGTTATAGTGGGCTAGGTACATTCCTAATTCGCTAACAGGGTCTACTTCTGGAAGCAATAACAATGTAAGAGAATCTCTTTAATAATTTTACAGACAATTTTAATTCGTTATACTGTTGTATGAGCAGCCTCAAGTATTTCTTGATGCCTTTGTAGGGTTTAGGTGTTGCAGGAATGAAGTAATATATGTTTAACCAACAATCCTGAGACACTGGAATTGAGAGTCTACCTGAAGTAGTTGAAAAACCAGTTTGTTGATTTGGTTATTCACGTCTCAAACTTTGTTTTCTTATTATCATGCACTTTATGTCATGTTGATTTGGTGATACTGTTATTCCGATAACTACTACAGCATTAGAACTAGTATGGAAATGGTTAATGTTTGACATTATTAAAATTATGGGTATGCTATTTGCTAAGTTAATTAATCCCGCTTGTAAATTGGCTTCTCGGAGCAAAGATGGATTGCCCCATACCCTAAGTAATGCAGTGGTGTTGCCATGATAGAGATATAAATGTGCAAGCTCAATTACAGTGAGAACTGAATCCTAGGTTAATTAGAGCTTCGACACAGTTGAGTGTCGATAATTCATGGATGAATATAGTCGACTCTAAAATGGTGCATGCAATTTGGCCGCAGTGTTTGTGTTTGGTGGCTAGAGTTTGAGCCTCAATTTGCCGATTTGTCTGTAATTTATAGACTGATAAAACCTCGAACCTCCCGTGATCGATTGAAAATATCTGAATAGATAAGTAGTTAAGCTTGCTTATTAGATCATTAGAAAGCTAAAAGCCTCTTGGCGAATTTACGTCTGAAGTCTAATTAAACCCAATTAGCAAGGTTAATTAAGAATTTAAACGATGAGACCATATAGTAAACAACTTATAGCAGTGATAGCGTTGGCAGTGGGATTCATTTATGCATACAGCTCTGGGTATTACTATGCAATTAAGCTGAAGAAAACAACTTAATAGGAGTGACAGACAGTGAAAATTATCTTATTTCAGCTGGTCTTAGGGGCAAAAATCATACTGGTATATATTCATGGACTTCATTATAGGAGGAGATCATCAACATCAACTAACTACAATTAACTTATTTTACATAAATTACATATAATTCCACTTCTTTTAGCATTGCTTAGAACAGTCACAACATGCATGTGTAAGAGAGTAAAAACATATAGTTTATCGAATTTTTAGGATGGATAACAAAATCAATTAATTGTTACTTAATAGCTTCATAATAAAATCACTAATGATTCTCATAATATTCTATTATATATATGATATCACAAACTATTATCTTAATCCCATAAAACTCATATCAATCAATAACTAAATTAACGATCTTTCAATTGTGAATCTGTAATGCCTACATAATTTTAGTTTCATCTGTTCTCAATCGGTGATACTGGGTAACTCTTTTGAATCCGATGACAATCGGCTTGTGTTGGTGAATTATAAGTAATTGCATTTAGTTTCGAAGACTTGGAAAAATAAATAAATAAAATTTATAGGTAGGTCAAATATTATTAAGGAGAATGTCAGGTAGTGTACTTTTAACCAATCGCTCCGGATCGGGTGGTTCGATAGAGACTCTTGAGTGTATTACTCAAAAGATCTCAAGTTTGAGTCTCTCTTCGATTGCTAATAGGGGTGACCACTAGAATTCTTACCTGATTGGTAATTCCAGGGTCCCAAAATATTAGTTGAGGTGTGCATAAACCTATCCGAATACTCTCAGTCATTAAAAAAAAAAAAAAAAAAACAAATTGTTAAGTAGAGAGCTTTTAACTATGCTGATGATTGTTTTCACATCACGTGAGAAAACAAATTAAAAAAATAAACTTATGATGTGAAATTAAATCCATATATAGTTGTGGAAAAATGAATTTAGTGGTCCATTTATACCCATGAATTATGAGGCAAAACAAAGCCCAATCTCCATGTATTGGGTTTGTAAAACTTTAGACACATACTCTTCCAAAATGGATCTAATTAAACTACTAAATGTCGTATTAAATAGTGTAATTAAATGGCATTAGCATGCATCATTAGTGACGTCTCTTGATTTAAAATAAATTAGAAAGTTGGAAGCATATTGCTATATATGTATAATTACTTTGCAGAAATAAAAGATATGGTGAATCTGAGGATTTGATAGTTTATAACCAAGTTGTGCCACATACAACTTGAGATGCTGCCTTTTACAGCTCACTACCACATACAAATCACGAATGGGCCACCCCACTTTTGACCCTTCAACCTTTGACTCTTGATGCAATGACAATGTGGAAATTGACTGGTCAAAACTACTCCAAGAATTTTGGGATAGTTTATATAAAGCTGGGTGGTTTTTATAAGTTGTTGTTGAAAAGTAATCATGCCCACAAACCATGAAAGTACATCTAGTTGCTCAAGCATATATGACCCTTTTGAAATAAACAAAAAACAGCTCTATAAAGAATCTAATATTAAAGTTTTTTTCCTCATAAAATACTGCATTAGTGACTCAGGAATCCTATACCAAACTATCAAAGTGGCATATTTATCTTGACTTCTAGTTTGTCCCTCCACTGCAACCCAAGTCATGGACTTATGGGAATGGAAGATGGGGAGTGGAGGGTTGTTCAATCAGCATCAGTAAAAACACTTCAGGTATACCTAGTACCTGTATAAGTGACAACTCAATTCTTAAACCAGCATAATCCTCTCTATTATAAGGGTAAAAGAGTCGAGGGAAAGACCGCCACAAGTGCTCAAACTTACATCCCTTTGGCCTTTACAATCATAAAACAACGACAACTGAAAGTGTAAACTAAAAAGGCAAAGGAGTTAAACTGATGCAACAAAGGACTTCACAATAAGAAAACCCAGATAGTTTTTCCTGTTATATACTTAATTGCATCTAAAGTGTCTACCAGCATTTTACCATTGCACAAGCAAAACCGGTTAAAACTTTTTATGCTAAGTATCTTGGAAAGCCTCCATTAACCTGCACAAAAAATAATCGATATCATTCACTCATCGAGGTAAATTAGATAATCAGCAAAAAACATATCTAGGCAATTCACCGTTTGTTCAAGTGTCCTGTGACATTTTCTTCAGATATTCTTCATCGAAATTCAGTGTTGCAGATGTAATTCAAATGCATTAAGCTTTTGGACAACTTTTTAACCAAGAATTTTAAATTCTTTTATGATTTAATTTCTTATCTACAGCTCTGATTATAAATTCCAGTACAACATGTCATTCATTCAAAATGAAAAGCATTTCATATGAAATGCATACGCAGGCGATGTTCTACTCCCAAAGCATGTTGAAATCTAATTAGCAAACAAAGATTCACATGCTAATGCTTATGTACCTCATTTACAGCTTAAGAGGTCGAGAAGCAGCACAAATCATCATTTTGCTGCTTTTCTTGCATGCAATTCCTCTGTTGCTCCACTCTTTTTAGATGTGATGAAAGTTGTATCAAATCAACAGTGGTCCCATCTTCAGGAGGGAGAAAGTACCTGGCCTTTAAAAGATCAGACTTTTGAAAAACTCCATCTGCTTCGACTTCCAAGTCAACAGCATGACCAGCATCAGGAACCATAATGGAGCCTGTCTGAGCACTATCCACAGAGTTCATTCCAGATGAATACAAGCCATCTGTTGCATATCTTTCCAAAGACATTACACCTACAGGTTTGTCAAAATTTAGGTCCAGAGTATGATGGACACGGCTGGTTTGATTGATCAAAGGCCCAGGCATTTGAATTCCTGATGAATGACTTGACAAGTTGTGTGACTGAGCTGACAGAAGAGAGAGAGCACAACTGGAGTGTGAAATCCCAGGTGGTGTATTACAAACATTATAGCTTTCAGTTGCCCAAGGAGGAATTCCAGAATTATGTTGTTTCTCATTGCCTTGTAGATGGAGGAGAGATTTTGTTAGCAGTTGCCCATTTGTGATGGTTGTTGCAAATTGAGGATGGGTGAATGGTTCCTCCTCAAACTTGAGACACTTTAGCAGATTGGCTTGCTCATTGCTTTCAGGGAAAAGAATGCCCCCTGGATGTAATTCTGGGAAAACAAAGGATGCTCCTTTTGGTAATGAAGTCCCCAGAAATTTGGTGCCTGCTGAACCTATACATGTTAAACATTAATAAAGAAATATATTTGTGTTTACAAATGGAAAATGTAAAGGTTTGAAAAAAGATCAGTAGTTGATTATCTAAGTTACTTGATGATCTTATAAAGGTTCCGCAGATATGTAAGAGTACTCTAAGAAATTTAAGCTTAATTTGCTTCCAAACAATGAGTAATTGATTATTGAAGGTTACTTGATGAGCCTTAGAATAACTCTGCAAAATGTTAAGCTCTAATGACTTTAAGATTAGGGGGTGCAAAATGAAGATGACAAAGCAAGATTTCCAGGCTATAATTTGCTTTAACTTTTAATTTTGCTTATATCAGTGATATACCGCAGTATCATCATGTCATGCATGATTCATAATTCAACTGCATTCATACTACCCTGAAGTAGCTCCCAAGACCTTCATATTTGTCCATGTCAATAATTGCAGAAGCTTAAGATTATAAGAGGTCATCTTAAAATAGAGTTAAACAATAATGAACCCCATCAACTACATGCTGAAATCAATTAACAGACTTATAATATGGACTCAATCATATAAACATACGCATTCATCCAAACACAAGTCCACCTAACTCTGTGTGATAGTTTAGTTAATTAAAGACGGAAATTTTCAGAACTCAGACACATGCCCTCTTTAAGTAAAAGAGGTTAAGATATTACGTTGAAAAACCATTAATTCCAAAAGTTCTAGTTATAAGAAATGCCCAACAATATTTTTTAAAGTAATATTCAATACTAACCCAAGTGTCTCTAGACCTATGAATATTGTTTATTTTTCTCATAGTTTTTTTAGCATGTTATTCTAGAACAAAATGAATTCATTCTTCTTTACACAAAACTGGATTAGTTTTTATGTGTATAATTCATGCTTTTTCAATTATCTCATAAGAGGCTCACATCATACATACAACATTAAAGGACAAAGAGACATAATTGATATATGTAACCACCACATATCATTGTTGCTGTCAAGAAATTTATGATGGCATTTCTTTATACCCCATTAGTAGTTAATGCCAATCAGATTAGTAATAAATGGATTCTAGTGGGCATTATTGGCTTCCTTTATTGATTCTAAATGATATGTACTGATGATCACAGCATAAAGCGAATTAAAAGAAACCATAATGGTTGATGACTTGCCCATTTCTAAATGTGGAATAAAGGACTTTCCTAAGATGGAAGTTTTTTTTTTTTTTCTTTTTTTTTTTTTATAGCCGTAAACCTTGACCCAGTCAAAAGGCATAAGGCAATGGGAAACGTTATATCAATAGAATGGCACTAAGGAACAATAGAAGTTATCATGCTCTGATGACAAAGTACTTGAAGCATGTCCTTAAGACACAACAAAAAGTTGCAAGGATGGGTTTGTCCTTTTTGTATCAATTATAAGATACATGTCTCTAATGAATCCACTGGACTGAAAAGATAAAATTTTCTGTACAGAATTATTGTCAATGTGCATCATTGTCAGGTTCAGCTAATTTAATAAGTCTAAAAGCAAAATCGGTAAAATCAGAATAAAAACAACTATCTACAGGGCATATGCATGAAAACAATAAGAGAAATTATTGGACAAAAGGGAAGCAAAAAAAAGCAAAGGAAAGAAACACTGAATCTTATATTAACAGTATGAAACAAAGTGTATCCAATGCAATGAAAACATTTTTCTTGTAACCGTTTATGTTAAATAGAAAATATATAAATGCAAGAAAAAGGACTTGCATCAAATATCAGATTGATTACTATCCCTGAACACAAGCAAAACGAGTTATTAATTTCGCAGATGGTGCAGATCACAGCAGAGGCAGAATTGATATAAAAACATTTACACAGGTTTATAATTTGTGGATATATATGTAACCTCTTTAGATATTCAAGGAAGGAGGAGCTTATATATCTTCAATTCAATTAGACACAAATGGGACTCAAATTTTCTTAGTTGGTATCATAGCACGCATTGTTCATACCTTGATATGATTGCAGCAACTTATGTGGTTTACCAGAGAGGATATTGAATTGAGGCTTTCTCCTACGCTCATTGTGGCCTGCTAGGCGTTTACGACAACTGCGTTTACTATCATCAAATTCAGCTAGCAAATGAAACCTGTTTAACCAAAAACCTTGATCATCAACACATAGTGAATCAACAAGAATAAATAGTAATATACAAAGCAAAGCAGACTAATATAGATTCTTCATTCATAAAATTAAGGATAGATAATGTAAAAGATTAAAATATAACCATAAATTTTGAGGCAGAATTGTCATAGCAAAGTAACCTACCAAAGTGAATCCAGTACTAAAGACCTTAAAACTTGCATAGGACTCTAAACATGTAATCTTGATTTCTCACTGTTTGGTCATCTCTTTCAAGGTCATTTGGTTTCTGATAAGCAGAGGAAATATTCCACCAGGATCAAATTATCTTTTCTTTTTCCCCCATGAACCCTTTGCCACAGTTAATAAAGCTCAAAATTCCTTCCTTCGATGAGGATCCTATGGTCGTCTATGACTCCAAGATACCACATGTGCATGCATTAAGGAATATAGCTCAAATGGCTTAGCTATGTCTTGCAATTGGTGAGCATTGATGGAAAACCATTAATGTCACTAAATGCAGATTCTGATTGAAAACACAACCAAGCAAAAGATTCTTTAGGTCACCAAACTGTCAACTGTCTTCCGGTTTCCCTTATTACTCACGAAATGTGGCATTTGCCTTTCACTCCGTTTGGGGTCTGTATTTTTAAGCTAGATTTGGAGTTTCAGGATCCAGTTCACAAAACTTAAAGAAGTTGCACTGTGAATATGAACAGAACTAAAGGCTCATCTGTTTGAAGAACAAGTTTTCATAGGCTTGGAAGGAGAAGATTGGGTAAGAATTTTTGTGGGTATATCTGTTTTGTGTGCAAGGAGAGACAGTCAAGAAGTTGTTATCCTATTGATTTCTTAAAAGCAGAGCAAAATATTTAGTCTGTTTCATTGCCTCCCTTGATTCTTTGGTACATCCTGTTTTCAAGGCAAATGAATATTTCTCTGTTTCTAATCAATACTCCTTGCTTAACACTCATTATAAGTTTTCCCAAATGAATTGCAACTTCTGAAGTTATTCATACAGAATATTCAAAATGAGGTTAGATCATAGCTATGAGCCAATTTAAGTGCAATATGGGAATAATAATGTTCACTTACATAAGTAACAGCTTTGATATCTATCAGAACTTGAATATAATAAAAGAAAAGTAAAGGCTGGAGGGAGGGAAAAAGAAAAACCAACCTGCTACACTGCTGGCAAAACCTTTGCTCATAGCCATTAACTATAACTTTGGGAGTCTTCGTGTGAACCTCACAAACTTTATGCCTTTTGTGGTAATCCTTTGAGGAGCTAAGATTTTTGCTACAGCCATAAACTTGACAGAGGGGAGTTTGAGAGCATGAACTTGTTATGCGAGCTTTCTTCGCCGTCAAAGATGGACGCACAGAAGATAAAACCGACTTCTCCTTCCAAAATTCACCATTCTGCGTATCTACACAATCAACCAATCTCCCTAGCTTTAAATCAATAAGTGTAGAATCCTGACTATTGGAAACCATACAAGAACTTGAAATTTTCGATCCAGATTCCTCTTCCCCAAAAAATGAACTTGAAGTGACCAGACAAGTAGGATTAGTCACTCCTTTTCTAGAATCACAACCAACTTCACCCTTCACTGTACCTCCGCTTGTGCTACTAAGGAAAGGTTTTTTGGTCACATCAGTAAAACCAAGGTCCATAAATTCCATACCCTCAACTGCGTCACTATCTGAAATAAGCTTATTAATATCAAAACTATACGAGGGTTTACTTTCCCATTCCATGAATGTTTTTCTAGTTCTAGAAAAAGAGTCAACTGGTAAGTCTACTTCATCAGAAAACAAAAGGCCTTTTCCCTCAGAGGAATAGCTCCAAGACTCCACCATAGAACAGTGTATCAAAGTTGCACAAACTATTCAATACTTTCAAATGCCAACCACAATTCAAGAAACGACGCAAATCGCTCCAAAAGCCAAGTAACTAGGAAAGATAAACAAGCACTGCAAAAAACGAGAAACAAACTCGTTCAACCTCTGTAAAATTTAAATATTCAATTGCAGATACAGCATAGAAGCAATAACTCTAAAATCAATGAAAATTAACTTGAAACTTCTATTCCATTTATTTCTTCAGTTTTTCAAGCTAACAACATGAGCTGATTAAACGACTCAAAATGCAAAACCCACCCAGTTTTCAGAATCATAAATATCAACCACTTTCACTCTCAAAATCCCAAGAAACAGTAAAAAGCTTAAAACTGAGAATTCTCGTTTACAAGAAAGTCAAAAGATTAGAAGATAAAAGCATTAAAACATCATTTAAAAATTATAACAGAGGAAATTCCAAGTGTTATTGTATTTTCTTACACTTTCAGAGTAACCAAACAACAGATCCTTGACACACAGTGAGAAATAGCGGAGGACAAACAGAGAGAATGTGAAAAGAATAATAGAGGTATGTTAGTTTAATAACTCACCAGAAAAGCAAAAACAGTGAGTGGGTCTAAATTGAAAAGGTGAGAAGTGAGAAGGTCGAGGGAGATACATATACACATATATACATATAGAGCGTGACTGTGTGAGTCAACATGATTTCCCCTACAGGTATAGCTGCTCCGTGTCTCAAAAGCATGACCATTGTCCAGGTCTTTTGTAGCTTTTTTGAATTTCCAATTTTGTACACAATTACACAAGTGTTGGGATTCTTTCGTTGACGCAAAGGTCAAGTAACCTAACTTTATTTGTTTAGGTAATTAAATTCCATTTTATTAAAACTTTATTTATTTAGGTAATTAAATTCTATTTTATTAGAATGTTTGTCTTTCTAGTCCCAGTCCCACGCCACATGATCACTGAGTTTTTTTTTTTTTTTAATTCCGGAGTGTTATCTTCGGAATCCTAAAATTAATAATCAAATAAACTTTCAATAATTATCTTTAGTAGTAATTATAAAGATTCAAATTTAAAATTTCTTTAATAATATATCTAAAAATTTTAAATGACCCCCCAAATTCTGACATGTAGTTAACATGATCATGAATTTGATCATATAAATAAATACATCCAAGATTAATATGTTGAAATACTGGCGTAATATTTATTATTATTATATACATGTGACCACCAAGCAGCTACAATAATTTGAATCCAGATGGATGAGATATATATTTATGTTGATGATTGGGGGTATTGACAAGACCCCCTGAGTGCCACATGTATATCAGAGAGAGCTAACACATGTCAAACGCCAAAATAAATAAAGGTGAAGAGTGAACCTGCTCAAAGCACTGCTGACACAAACTTTAACTTTAAAATAAGACCATATCATGAATGCCAACTAAAGGCCAGCAAGGAGCAAGGCCACTCAACCTGCCGACTCTGCCGTCTGCCATCTGCCATTTCCTCTGTTAAAAGTTATCAATAAAGCCACTACTCTCTAGGAGATCCCAAGTTGCTACCAAAAAAAACCCCTCAAACCACAACATATATATTTTTTACCCATTAGGCCATCTCATAAAATGTTACATTATGTGTCCCATAATATACCACTCAAATGGGAGTGAAGGTGAGTCCAATACAAAGCAACAAGCCCAGGGCCAGGGGCTAGGGCCGCTAGGCACTCTGCCTGTCCATGCCTGACATTATCTCAAAGAATGCTTTTATTTTGCGTGTACAAGGTCTAACTCTTCACAAGACGGAAGTGCGTTTGTCCCAATCATTTCAACCACTCCAATTCCAAATCTCTGAGATATTGGTTGTGAGTAAAAAGCTGAGCTGCGTTTGCTTTATCATTCAGCTCCCACTACACTTTTTTTTTTTTTTAAAAACAGTTTACATAAATCTAAAGTATTTTTCCCATGACCATAGAACAACTAGTCAAATACAAGTTTTAGTGGCTGTAAAAATTCAAACTCAGAAGACTATATAAACTTATATCCTCATTTATTATTTTACCATCAGGCTACCCACCAGCGGTCTCCTCCCACTACACCTTTACGTGTTAACGCTCCCCTATCTATATAGTTATAACTAGTATATGACATAACGTTATAAACCCAGTTAAATTACCCAAAGAGAAAAAGCATTAGGTTAAAGGAGCACTCAATGGACATGCTATAAATGTTGGTCCACTTAAAATTCTGGTGAAAGAAATGCCAAGTGTGTATGTAGTGCACAGGGAGCAGTAAGTGTTAGATGAATGGGATGGGGGAGGCTTTAAGATCTTGATCCCTAACCAACAGTGCGCCACTGGGCAGTAAAGGAGAGAGCTTGGGTTGGGGACCAACTTGTGGTGATATGGTTGAAAAGGGCAAGTTCAAACTCGATTTCAACAAGGCAAAGGCACTGTGATGTTGCTACTTCAGATATTTGAAAGCAACGTTAGTGGATAACAGCATGAATAGACAAGAGTTTTTGGTCCTCCCAAACCCACTATGGCCATGCTTCAAATCTTCTTAGCGATAAATAAAAGTCCCGGAAGCAAACATATATATCATCATCAACCACCGTGTCTTTTTCCTCAAGGATATGCTCTACTTATGTGGCTATCTGCTCCTGTTTTTTCTTTATACCTGCAGTCAAACTATTTCAACTTCTAACCATATGAAATGATTTGGACATGAACAAAGGAAAATGATTATGAACCTGTAAATCTAAGTTATGCTCATTTGAGATCTCAAATTCATGTTAATCACTGATTTAAATCATCCTTTTCTTGTAGTTTTACTCCCACTGAAACTAGTAGATGAACTAATTAATTTCTGTACAAGTTGGGCCTCGTATGACACGAATGTAGGCCTATCCTTGATTATAATTTGGGCTAACTTGTTGGATTTCTTAGAGCTAATAGCCTAATACATATAAAAATTGGAATAATATTATACTTACAATCCAATCTTACAAACTTTATCTCGCAACTCTGACATGATAATTCATAATTGGTCAGTTCGTAAATAGGTTTCGTTTGCTCGCAATGAGTCTCGCCTAACCAATTGTGAGTTAACCAATTACAAACTGTCTAATCGAGGTTGTGAGAGAAAATTGGTAAGATTAGGTTACAAATCAATATTTATTGATAAATATTGTTATACATAGTCAACAATTTGAACAAAATAATTTTGACCTCAAAATCTAAACTGTAAAGAGATTTTATCGAATTCAATGAATGATCAAGATCATACATAAACATACTCGTGTGTTAATTAGAATGAAGCCTTAGTTGCTGTTGATTTTTCCAGTTTTCATCCTACTAAGGAACAGAAATTCTCTGTAAATGGGAACATTAAAAAAGGAGGTCAAAGTTAACTGCACCAGGAATTCATTTACATCCAAAATGGGTTATGAAATGAATTTAGTTTTCCTCCATTAGACTTGGAGGTTTAACATAAAGGCTGCATTATAGAACAGAGTTAAGATAGATATGGGAAAGTACGTAGACCAAAACAGAAAAAAATCTTAGAAGAGGTTAAGTAGTTTGTAATAATACTGTACGTACCAAAGGATAATAGATTGATTATGTAGGGGGGTATACTATATACATCCTAAAATCTAGCATTTCGTTTTTATTATACATGAGATGGACTGACAGACCCTCCATACAAGACAAACATGGATTACAGCTCTCGTCTTTTTCAAGGTAATATTGGATACCATCTATCAAACACAATTATAAGAATGCCCTTTTCTTGTACGTACCAAGTTGCAGGTTTTTTAACGTACTTTATTATTTCATTAATCTCCTGCAATATCGTATCCCATATGCAGATGGGCAACACTGATATTTGCTCAGTTTGTTAATGGATCACTTCAAGTTTTTTTGTAATGGCATGTTTATGTAATAAGTGATGAAGTTTTACCAAGTTCCATTTATTCAGAATCTCAAGTTGATTATTAGTGGAGTATCTTTATCAGAGAAAAGGTCCTACCAAAAACATTTAACAAATTAACAAGGAATTACATGAGGTTTGATTTCATTATAATTAATAATCATCTTGTTACCCACATTTATTATCTAAATTAGCTTCCATTCCCATGTACAATCGTTTCACCGACACCATTAAATCTTAAAATATGATTAGCATCAGAATTATATCGAAGAGAGATGAAGCTAGTTCAGTAACAGTAGAAATTTGTTTTTTTATAACTTTAACAAAAGATTTGATTTGTGTATATAAGATGGAAAAGTTAAGACTTAGGTTAGGACCGTCCATGTATTGGCTCATTCATCAAGATTTGTGATTACATTTTTTCACTTTGAATAATAATAACAATGTTTGTGGGATAGGGCCCTCCTCCACTCCATTACCATGTTTGATGTTGTTGTGTGCCCCATGACTCTATTTTGCGTCTGTCATGCCGTCTTAATGGGCTTCTTTTTAGTGCCTCTATTCATCATTCTTTCTTTCTAAAGCCTATGCATTCTTAGATTTAATCATCCAACTTTTCGCCTTTATACGCGTGTTTTACAATTTATACAAAACACACCACCTACCATATTTCTTCATCTATTCAATGTTATCATGTTTGTTCTTTAAATTTGGTGAATTTTTTTTTTGGATGATTATATACCAAGAAAATAAGGTGATGATCAAATTTTAACACAATCCCACGTGCTAACATGTCAATCTAAAAGCAGAAATGACGATGTCCAACTCTTAGGCAGGATGATTAATCCATCCATCCATATTAATTAATACAAGATATGTCCATGTTTATTACTTAAAAGTATATTAGCCTGTTTAGTAGGTTATTTAAAAAAATGTTATTCTGAAAAACTATTTTAATAAGATGAAAAAAGATTTCATCCAATAAGATAAGATAGGATTTTGAGCATATGTTACATATAATATCTTAAAGTTATATTATTTGATATATTTTTTAACCTCTTACATTTATTAATTTAACTAAATACATTTACAATAAAAATTTATAAATTAATAAAAATACCTCATCTAACCAAACCACTACTAACAGCAGGCCACCACTGTTAGGTGGTTGCCAACAGTGGTATATTACCACGATTCCATCACCAAATAATTAGATAGATATCCTTTTTGCCTCATCTCAATTATGTAGCTTCAAAAGTTGGGCCATAATTTATCCCAAATTTAATCTGTGATAAAATTTAGTTAATTAGCTAGCTAGCTTTGGTTTGTCTAGATTTTGTCCCTAATCCTGAGAAAATAGAATGATTTAAGCACTACCTAAGACCTAAGACTTCCTTTTAGCCATAACTTATTCATATAACTCAAAAGTCGGGCCTTAATTTATCCTAGTTAAATTGTTGTTTAATGGAACTGGTTGGACCATTGTGTATAGCTTTTGTCCCTAAACTACAGAGAAAAATGGATAATATAAGCGTGGTCACATGTCTAATCCCATGTTGACCTGTACGTATTACGTTATAACAACTACATTAACTATAATTTGGATTGAGTTTAGGTGATAAATAAACATATTGGGAAGATATTATGTTCGTACACAAGTGTTTAATTAGGTACACTAATTTTTTCCGCTTTTTCTTTTTGGCAGGTCCCCCAGCACTCTGTATGTCGTTGCATGCTTCTGGCTAGTGCATCTCTACATGCAAAGGCAACAAAAGGTAATGTAAATTTGAAACTTCTTTTTCTTTTCTTTTTTTTTTTTTTATGAATGGGGTGATTGGGCCAGCTTATACTGCCTCATTTAATCTTCTAAGACCCTGAAACTATTGGTCAAATAAAAGCTTCAGTGGTTATCCTTATTAGCAATCGAGAAGAGACTCGAATTCATGACTTTTTGAATAATATATCCAAGAGTCCTTATTGAACCACTTAACCACCTAGAGGTAGATTAAATTTGAAACTTCGTCGACCACAAAATTATTATATATTGTTTGTAATTAAGAGAAATTGTGAGAGTTTTAAAACTTAACTAAGGTCTTGTTTGAATTAAGAACTATAGATATATATTCATCACATGAGTGCAAGATATACATATATTTGGAGTGTAGGTTGTGTAAATTCCAATAATTTCTCCCAAAGAAACAAAAATGGAGAAAAAGATGTATAGCTTACATTCATCGCATGTGCGGGGAATGCATATATTGCATTTGGTGGGAGGATAAAATATTGAAAGATTAGTCCAGTCCAGTTGTGAATGCGATTATGCATTTGCTCTGTATTGATTTAGTGGGAAACTACTATTCTTGGCACAACGAATAAGTCATCCAATGGTGGACTTTTAGTGTTCTTTGCACTCCATTTATACAACATCACCAATGAAAAAGCGAAGACAAACAAACATTCCAAACTGTACATACAGAGAAAAAAAAGAAGCAGCAGCAATATTGAAAGAACTTTCAAAGAAACTGGTAATAGGGTAAAGAAGCAAAATCTAGGACATTAACTTCTTCTCACAACTTCTAATGGTAATAATAAGAACAAAGAAGCCATCAACAAAGGGGAGAAAAATTAATGTACACAGTTCATAGAGCTCCATTGGAAATTGGTGCTCCTCTTCTGATGCTGTCCATATGCGTAGTTTCATACACAGGCAGACCATTTGAGTATATACCCAAGTCGTAATTTTGCAACTCAAAGAGATCCGAGCTTGAATCACTATCTGCACCATCATCAATCTCATTCAACTTTTTAAATTCTTTTTCTTCAGATGAATACCGATGATCAACCCAAATCCTATCTTTTTCTGCATGGTTACCAGAATTCTTGTACTTGTCCGAGTATGCATTATTATTGAACTTTAATTTCTCATCCAGCCAAGGTAAATCTGTATTAATTTTTTTGTCTTCCATTACCTCGTTTTGTAAAGCTGTAGATTTTAGTGCTTGTCCATTATGCTTTGTGGACAAAGACACTACATGCTTGTGATCTGAGTAGCTTCTTAAATCCTTGTAGCTCTTTGTGGGTGTGTGTGCATATGGAGGAGGTGTTCTAAAACCTGAACTTGAAGAAGAATACAACGACTTTGAATCAGTGGTACTCGAGCTTCGAAAATGACTAATGCTACTCCTCCTTTTTCTCCTCCCACCGGGACTCTCTTCTTCGTCTTTCATGGACTGTGTAGAGGATTTTGATTTCTTTTTCTTGGAACTTGATTGATTGAAGAGAGAGTTCAAGAAACTAGCAAGTCTGCCTCCTGGAGAGCTTGGTTGCTTGTATTTCTTCTCTTTAATTTGCTTTTCAATACCATGATGAGACTGTTTTTGATAACAAACAGGATTTTGAGGAAGCGATTCTCTCATCATTGGCACGTCCAAGCTGATTCTTCCTGCTCTCCATGCTTGTCTTTCTTCTTTCAAGATCTTCTGAGAAAATGTTCCACAATGATAACCAGAACCTTCATTGTAGCCGGAGAAATAGCGGGCAGCCTCAAAAACGTCAAGTTCACCAGAATCATTCCTGTGATGGAATGATTTCTTGTAAATCTTGTCCGTGTCTGAAAGTGTGATGGACATAGTTGAAACTTCTGTTATGGGGTTTGAAAATTGAGTTTGGAAGTTATGTGACAGGGTGACGAAGGTATATATGGGAAAATTAAGAAGTAAAAGAGAGGGGAAGAAGAATAAAAGGAGGAATTTTCTGAGTTTGTAGAGAGGGAATGAGATTAGACTTTGAAATGATTGAGAGTAGTGGGAGACGATAGCTTTATAATAATCAACTGCACTGTCAATAATAATTTTATATGATGAAGAATGTTTTTGGAGGTTTTTGGAGAGGTCCCAGTTGGTAGTGAAATTTGTGCTTTAGTTATACAAGTGAAGTGGGGTACAATAGGCCTAAGCTTTTATCCTTCTCATACAGTGAAAAACCAGAGGTTATGGTGGGCATGGTGGGGGGCAAAGAGCTGTGTTTCCTTGGATTCTAGGGTTCAAGTTTTCTTTTAGTGGGATTTCCTTTCAAGTGGGTGTTGGCAATGGCTATGTGAATGTGATGTACTATATATACTACTAACTTTACTTTCATATGTATATATATATATATATATATATCATAACAGAGATACATACATGATCTCTGTCACCCTTCTTTTAAGACTTGGAACTCACTCTTTAATAAATTGGAAATAACTTTAATAACATCAAATTAAAGGAAAGATAATTTTTTTGCTAAGATATCTTTTGACTGTCATAAATCAAATAAGTATATGGCCCAGTAAAATCTGAAATGCTTCCTCTTTGGGAGAGTAATGGGTTTGAGTTTTTTTCAATGGAGATAGATACTCAAGGAGTATTAATGGTCAGCCTGAGTGGGGAAAAGATAAATATTCCTATTGGCTTAGTTTTCTTAGTTATTTGGGAATCCCCCCTCCCCTTTCGCAATCTCCTCGTCAATACGCTACTCCAAAGGTGTTTAGTTGTTTTACACGAAAAGAGAAAAGTGGAATACGACATATCCCATTTCCAACTTGACAATAAATATATTTCAATCCTGCAAATGTCATTATCAGTAATTGTCCTTGTCCAATATCAAGTCATTAACCACTTCAATTAGATCTAATTAATCTTTAACTTAATGTAAATCGAATATGCAATTCACACATGAGCCTGGCTCAAAAGAGATCATCTAGCTATCTAGTCCATGCTTCTGTGTTGGTCAGTACTCAGTACTCTTTGAACAAAGCAGAAAAGATTATCGTTGGAGGGACAAGGTAGCCCTACCTTTATGTTTATTCCTTCTGGAATTTTCAAGTGCAATGAGGCTAGAAAACAGGAAAATTCAATACACAAAACATTCACTCATTGATGACATATTGCAAATATATACAAGATTGTACATGTTTTGTTTTCTTTTTTTGATCTCTGTCTTTGTATATATATATATATGATAGTCTTTACTCTTTATCATGGTATATCCAGATATGGTAGAATATATATACCATATGCTTAAAATATATATGTGATGATAATGTATAAATAGTGCAGTCCCACCAAAGGATAAAAGAGGAGGTGTAAACAACTTTCTTTCTTTTAAGATATTGGGTTAGTCAATAGATTTGGCCCATTTTAAAACACAAATTCCCATCCCTCGTTGTTGGGGACAATGGTTTCAACCCGGCGTGCGTGTGGGCACGAGCACACGTGCATAGATGGCGAATCAAAAGAGCACACGTGACAAGTATGAAGGTGGAGTTTCAGTATTTGGTGTACATCATCAACACAATGTTACTAGTAATTGAAAGTCAAGTCAATATTGAAGCAATAAAATGGTAGTGATATTGGTCCCGTCTCGGCCTTCATTTCTTTTAGCTATCTTTCACCACCACCACAGAGTCTGTGCAACAAAAATTCAGTTCACCATTGGGCTTGTGATCCTTCACTGTCACCTTGCTCAACAAAGATATGTTCTACCAGTTCTGATTGGATACCATTTTGATCTTACCGACAGTGTCAGGTGAACAGTCACCTCAGCAACATAAAATTTTTCACATGGATCATAAAAATGTTGAGATCAGATGTTGATATATATACACAAGTGTGGCCAAACTGATTGCAAACCACAAGTTGGATTCGTAGAAAGCAGAAAGATAGCAATGAGATTAAAACAAGTAATATGTTATGTGCCTGAAATCAAAGGTCCATGGAGGACCTACAAGAAGAAACCGATAGGAAGATGGCCACATGTATAAGGCCCGTTAGGCTGCTTGTTAAGATCAGAATGACAGCGTCTTGCTTAATGTCTTCATCCCCTCTAGCCAATTTCTATTTGATTGATACATGTCTCTCATGTTTCGTTCTTTTCTTTAGTTATACACCATGCATTTTTAAAGTTACCTTACATGGTCGTCCTTCTTTCATCAGTCCCATCTCTCTCTCTTCGATCTTGCCCTTTTATTTATACCCTTTCTCTTAAAGATTTATTTTATATATATGTATATATGCGACTTGGAATTTGCCTAAATTTAACTTAATGAAATATCGATCCTCCAAGTATAGAAATTGAACCATCCATCAAAACACAGAAGACCCTACAAGAACCAAACTTGTGCGTAAAAATAGGGAAATGACTGTAGATTGTTCCCCATCTGATCCATCTCACACAAATGTTAGTGGCTTCAACTCTTATTGCTGGCATGCAATAACCAATGTCCAATCAGATGCCATCAACTTTGGTGAACAAGTTTTCTTTGAGATAAGATAAGAATAAGAGAGTTTTTGGATGTGTGGGTACATTGGGAGATGAGTTATCTATCTTAAAATCTAAATATCACAGACGATCGATTATCCTTTTTTTCTAATATTACTTAAACCAATGCATCAAATCTTCAACATCTGTCTATATAATTAACTCAACGTGGCCATACAAGCTACACATGTAAGTGATTCTGTGTCTTATTTCTAAGTCTTGGAAAATAAAAAAAAAATCTAACCCTTTATGGATTTTGTTTTATGACTTTCAAGTTCCAAAGATATATGCTATGATGGTTACCATCTCTTAGATATATTATATTATAGTAAAGTAGTGTAAATAGTGTTTGTTGATGTAGGATATGGTCCCTTAGCTTATAAGACTAAATTACTAAACAAGACTTTGAACTCAGTATAAGTCTTTTTTTTTTTTTTTCGGGTGTGCGTCTTCTTGTGTTCTGTTTCTTAGTCTTATATTGAAATTTTTTTAGGAAATATGACTGTAGAAGTGAATTCTTCATGATCTTATGAATTTTTTTCGTTTTTTGACGAAAAAAAGATGAGAAATAAAATAATAATAATTAAATACAGTCAGTACAAATAGGTTTTTTTAGTGCTTTATTGAGTTCTACTGGAAATTTTGGAATAGATGGCTCTGGAAATGAATTTTTTAAGGATCTTTTGTAATGAATCCACTTTGTGTTTTGATAAAATTTAGAATTTAATTAAGGTGGGTTAATCTCATCCACAGGCCCAACGGACCGAAAGCCCAATACTAATTTTTCAATCTGCAAAACAGGAGCCCAGTGTGGGAAGAGTGGCCCATGCAGGTCTCGAACCTGCGACCTTCGCGTTATTAGCACGACGCTCTAACCAACTGAGCTAATAGGCCATTTACTTTAAAGACTTTAACTTATATTATAGAATTCTGATAAAGTCAGGTTATTAAATTTTAATTAGAATTAAATTTATTTATTTTTTCAATTGAAATTGTTTCAATCATGATTGTATTGCTGTGAGTCATGTGACACTTATTATATATATATCATTCACAAGGGGTATTTAATTTTTATTTTTTTAATATTACGTTTAGCTATCAGGTAGAGAGTTTTCTAAGTAACATTTGTTAGGGCAAAAAATGTCATCGACCCAAATAGGCCCAGAGACGAAGTCTCCTTCAACAAAGCTAAGAGCCATGGCCCAATTCCGATTGGGCTTGCAACAGAGATCGCACATTATGCCCACCCATTATACCTGCCATGTTGCTCACTGCCTGAGCCCAATCAATAAAAGGTCCTGATTCGTTTGGACCCCATCATCAGCTTGCTTGGGTTTGGGCCCATTGATCCTAGACCATCTATTAGACTTAAAGTCTACTTGGAGCCTAGGGCTGCCTACTTACTCCAGCACTATCCAAACTCTATCGAAGAGATCCATTATTACCCTAATTCATCTAAGATCCGTATCTTAGACCCGCTGGACTCCCTTTCCCACTAAGGTAAGGGAGTCAAAGGCTCTTTTTTTTACAAAACCTCAACTCCCAAGGACTCATAGTCCTATTAGGACTCAAAGATCCTACAGTTGCTATTTAAACAAGAGGCTAGCCCTCCCGCAGGCACGAAACAGCACACCTTCTAACCTCGTAGTTCTCACTCTTGAGAACTTCGCATCACAGTAGTAGTTATAGTCTCTGACTAGACTTATGGTAACCTTCTCTTTCTCTAGCCCTCACTAAATTAGCCTTACTCAGCCTTGTTGACTTGAGCGTCGGAGTGCCTACGGCAAACACCACCCTGGTGTTTTCTGTTCTCTTCACACTTGTTTCCTTGTGTGTGCAGGTGTAACGGATTGCTGGTGGCCTCAACCTCACGGGATCAGACCCTATTTCCATAAAGGTAGATTTTTTACTTCTACAGTTTGACGCCCACTGTGGGGCCTCTGGCAATCATTCTTCTTTCAAACCCTACTTCGCAAGGAAACTCTCTATGGCTGAAAATTCAGATAACACCAATCCTGGTCTCAAGGCTAGACTCGAAGCTCTAACTGCCCTTATGGAACATTACTCAGACAAGGTGACAACATTACCCAGACAAGGTGGCAACACTGCAAGCTGAGAACGCCGCCATCCGGACCGAAAACACCTCCATCCGGGCCTAAAACTAGTCTTTGAAAGAAAAGGTAAGTCAATTTAATGACCTTGAGCTTCAGCCTTGTCAGGTACAACCCAATCGTTTCCGCGCATCAGTTCCATTCATGCAGCTTCTCCAGACTCCAGATCACAGACTAATCGTCTCGGATACAAGATCGCGACATCTTTATTCATCGCTAGTGGACGATTCATCCTAGAATCCAATTGAGCGAGGACTGCCAATAGAGCCACTCTCGGTCGACCCACTTCAAGCACGAGATTAAGACATCCAAGTAACAGAAAGCCCACCACAACAAGAGCCACCCATCCTTGCCATCCATTCTCATCTCCAATAAACCATTCCTACTAGAGGTGGGCAGGGACCAGTAGCTCATGGGTCTGGGACCGGGCCCAGGCCCATGAGCAAAATAAGGACCCGGACCGGTCCAGGACCGACCCTATGGGTTTGGACAATT